ACACACACATACGCACATAAATAAGCACCACATGCTGCGTTCTATTATGAGCATAAATTTAGAGCAATTTGTCAGTCTTTGAGCCTCCGCCGCCTTGATGTGCGTCAGTTTTAGGCTTGCTCTAGCTTACCTTAATTAAAGTATATTTAGCATAAGTATAGTTACGGTACAGTGAAAGCTCTAAAGGCTATCATTTCTGAGTACTTGACTTTTACTTTAAAATTTGGTGCCTGGCTTAGAGAATATATCTGAAAGAACTTTCAAGCATGCGTTAAAGAAACCTTTTCAATATTCTTAGTTCTTTAAGTTTGTCTTTTTACTGCCAACATCTGGTGAATGTCAAGCTGAAGCTTAAGTACTGCACCTAATTGAGTGGACAGTGGTGTAAGCAGCTCGTACCACACTATGTTACAGAATTACCCTTTAATTAGAAATAACTGGAGAGGTCATGGGGTGAGGGGTGTGAGGACGTGGCTGAGGACGGCAAATGGCAGGGAAGCCGCTTAGCAGTTGCCACTCGATAGCTGCATTTGGTTTTATTTTTGTGGCTGACATGTGTGTGTGTGTGTGTGTGTGTGTGCTGGCTCTCAGTACATAGACAAACAAACAAACACACACAGAGCAGAAATCGGTGAGCGCATCCTGAGGCGTCTTTAGCCAGACAAGAAGTAGATTGGAAAACAATATGCAGAAAAGTTCATTTGCAATTGAAATCAGAAAGTCAAGTTGGAAATGGAAAAGTGAAAATAGAAAAGCGGCAACTGAAAACAAAAGGCCAGGCTGTGCCAAGCATTCAAATTAGCTGTTTTTTCAAGCGCATAGCACAACGTTTTCCTTTTCAGATATCAAGTACTTCTCCCCCATGGAAAATACTCTATTGATGTATGAATTATCCTTGATTTCATACTTTAAATAAACTTAAAAAGTTATTAGGAATTTTTGGTATCTAAGAAAAGTCTTTTGAAAACGAATTTCCCATTCAACTTAAAGAACTTCGATTTAGGTTGAATTAGATGGAGTTCGTAATCAATATGTAAGTAAAATTCTTGGATTTTTCTCTTAGTGTGTACTAATTAAGAACGAATGGAAAGTGTTTGTGGATATGTTAGAAATATTTTGAAATGCGCTGCATAAATTAGAACCGTGGCATAAATGTCACGTCGAGCACAGTGACTGCTGATTGTATGCGCATAAATTGCGCGTTGCCAATTTGGCTGCTGGCTAATTGACTGAACGCATATTATTATTACGATTCTCCCTTGCGTGGCCATAAAATGTTTCGACTGGCCGCGCAAAAGTCATGTGAGTTTACACATGGAAGTTGTTGAACTCTTAATTCGAATAGTTGTCAGTTTGGAAATGCGCATAAAATGTTGATTGTCCACTGGACAAGTTCGCCATTAAATTTGAAAATTAACTCAATATTTATGGCTAGCTATTTCTGAAGTACTCTATATAAAGTTAAGATCGAATATAATAGTAAGAAACTAAAAGATATGTACTAATTAAAAGGATATTTGGAATGAAATGACTAAAAACTGAATTTGAACTTGAGTTCAGTCTGGTAATAAAAATATTTCTCATTCAGTTGATATATTATAAAAAGGGATGCTAGGTTCGAACCAGCGCGAGTCGTCAAGCCTTGTGCCTTGTGCGTCGCTTTAAAAGTTGTATAATGAATTTAAGCAAATATAATATTTGGCTATAATAGATTGGCACATGGCATTCAATTGCGGTGGCAATCAAATTGATTTGATTTGATATTGTGCATTCAGCCGAAATTTTGTCATACATTTTGAATTGTGTTGACGGTGTTGGGTGGCCCATAAAAAGCTTTGCGTTGTGTGTTAAATTCTATAATGAAATAAACGCTACAATGGAATATTTTATATTCAAATTTAGAATATATTGAATAGCAATCAATATAGTATCTTTAGGGGTCAGATGAATTTGGGGTTGGCTTGCAGAGCATGTGAAACCAACTAAAGCATCGGTCCTGAATCTCGTTAGCCCGGCCAGCTGCCTGATAGCCCTATGGATATCATTCAGTTCAAAGAGCTATCACAGCGGAATCTGAATCTGGCTACGCCTTTTGCGCTGGCAATCATCCGAAAGCAAAACTTAAAGCAATCAAAGCCAACAGAAGAAAAACCCCAAAAGCCCCAAAGCTCAACGAAAACGAATGCGAGCACACAATCAGAAAAAAAAAATTAAGAAAAACAAAGGAAAATAAAGGAAAGCAAGGCGTAAGAAAACACACAATGCAAAACTAAAAACACAGCTAAAGCGCTGCAAACGTATTGTGTGAGAAAAGAAAGCCGCATTACGCTGTGCCACGCATGGAGTTGGTGAGGGGCGGGGGAGATTACACGTGGCGTGCTGCGAAAATCTTGCTTTGAGGCCACTTGGGCACGCAACGGCGGTCATTGCGGAAACGATGCCCCCAAAGAGACTGGAGGCTGGAGGCTGGAGGCATGTGTTAGGCGCCACAACATGTGGCCAAATCTCCTACAACTCCTTTGGCTCCAGCTTCTCAGATGCAACATACTTTCAGCGTGTTTGCAAAGGTTTTTTTTATGTACTTGGAAAGGATATTGTAACTTTAGCACAGAACGTGATGAAAGCAACATCTGCGACACCACAAATGAAATGTATATATATTATATAAAATTAATACTATGTATGCAAATATATTTAATATATATGTATATGCATGATATATGTATATGCCACAGCTGATTTCCTGTTTCAATATGTTACTGAAATATAATCCTTAAACTTGACACAGATATTTATTTTTGCTGCAGAATTTATTTGTAGGAGATGCGGAATTGAAGTACTTTATCATAAAAGTGCCAGAGGAACTTCATGCCACGTTTAGCATTTTGTGCAAACAATTTTTTTTATTTGTGAGTTATCTCAAAAAGAAACTAAACTAACTAAAATAAAGCACTCACATGAATTAATCATCAATCATTTTCTTCTTATTTTTATTAAATTAAGCTAGCTTATTTAATTTAGGTCAAGTCTCAATAGAATGAACGAGCTCTGCATATTTTGGTTTCAATAAGAAAAATAATATTCCTTTGTTTAAGTATATATATATATATATATATATATATATATATGTCGATTGCGTGTATTTAGGCATCGGCATTTTTTCCTTACTAACTCTTCTTTATCACTTTTAAATAAATATATATACTTATATTTCACAAGCACTTCTTACTTGCGATGCAAGGAAAAGTACTTTTGCCACTAGGAAATGTCTCTAGCATTTAACTGGAAATATTCTTCCCTTTGCTGCATTTTGCAATCAAATTGCAATTAGCATAGAGTTAATTAATTACATTTTCCCCCGACATGCAGTAATTACAGCACACACGTACACACACACACACACGCACACACATGTAAGCTCACACGTGCGACGGGAACACGTGTTAAATCAACATGTTGCGCTTTGCAATATATGCTTCTACATGCGTCTACGTGTGTGTGCGCGCCTGTATGTGTGTGTGTGTGTGTATATATATGCAAATGCCCCCTTACCTTATCCAACCTTATCCCTGAATGGCTTTATTTCCCCCTTTTGCTAGGTGAAGCAACTGCCGGAGGTTTAAAGCGCAACTGAGAGTTATTTATACACCTAAGCACACACATGCATACACTCAAAGCACACACACACACACCACACACACACATACGTGCGCCTGCACAAATATTTCTTCAACAAGTTTGCAGCGTCTGATTTTTGCATTTCTTGGCTTTTGTCTTTGCAGTTGCCTGGCATTCGCGCTTAGCGTTCTTCACCAGCCCAAAAATAATGTAACAAAACAAACAAATAAACAAACGCAACAACACACACACACACATCAAGAAACACACGTAGCACACACACACATACATACATCTCCACGCACCCACTTAGCGCGCCTGCCAACTCATCCGCATTTTCGCCCCTGCCCCTTTTATTTTGGCTCTGTGTCAGGCGGTCCGCGTGCTTTTTGTGTTTGTCAAAATAAAAGTTTTATAAAGCAAAAACAGAGGCAAAAACAAGAAGCCAGCTCTCCAGCACTTGCTCTCACTGCCTTTTACTTTCGCTCTCGCTCTCTCGTATGCTCGCGCACTCTCGTTCTCTGGCGCGCATACACTGCACAAAATACTCTACCAGCTATCAGCACACTGTGGCGTACGTGCATATTACATGCTCTCACTCACATCTAAAATCAGTTAATGTAAGTGTAGAAATTCAAACTTGTTCCCTGCTAAATGAATGCTTGCACTCATACATTAATATAATATTTTAATTAATTCTTATAAAGATATTAAAATTATACGTTTGAAGGTTGGTAAACATAATACATAAACATTTACCAAAAATTTTCAACATTTGAAAATGAAGTTCTTTCAGCTTTTATTACATAAACTGAAAAGTTTCAGCTTTCTAGCAGTCATCAATCAATCACTCAGTCAGTCAATCAGAATAAACAATTTGAAATTTAAAGACATGGATATTATAAAGACAATTGAATTAAAAAATCATCGTAGTACACTGTGCATGCCTTCTAACTACTTTCGAGCGTTCTATATTGATGAAATGAAAATAGTTCGAAGTCAACTCGGCCCACTGTGCGTATAGCTTGTTATTACGTATCCGCAGCGTGAGCGGAGCACTAAACACAAACTAGAGAGAGAGAGCGTGGGAGCAGGAGTTGCGCTCTTTGCCGCATTTTTTTTACTGTTTTGCCTGGCCACATTTTCCAGGGGGTATTTCATCTGTGTGCCAATCTCGGGCCACGTTCAGTTTCATCTGAGACGTTTGGCGCAGCGGTCGATAAAAAGTGAACTAAGAAAATTAAATAATCAACTGGCAAAAGCAACGTGAAACGCGTGTCTGGGGACCTAAACAAAGTACAAGTTCTATAAAAAACCTACAGATTATTTCAGCCAACTAACTGTTATTGTTATTGTCATTAACTGTAGTTAAAATAAAATTAATTGACTTTTTGCAAGAATTTTAAATTAGTGTTTGTTAAATTGCCGTCGCTTTTTTATGGTCAATTTCGGTAGTTAAAAACTCTTGACAGGCCTTTAAGAAGCGGCTTTGGCTGCGGCCTCAAACTGGGCGAATACCGTAAAATGACACGTGTCCGGCGTATTGTGGTAAGTTTTGTTTAAGAGCATATATCCAAAGCATTCAAAGCGCCTTAATACACTTATGCAAATACAGAAAACAGAAAACACATACACAAAACATTAAAGCCGCTAAAAGCGTACTTAAAGCACGTCCTGCACGTAGCATTACTTAAATATTTCAGCTAACTACCAAAAAAACGAATTCAAATTCACATATAATGTCTTTGCATGCTAACCTTCACGAGTTTTATTATTTTAATGCTAATTATACGCTGTTCACAAAGCACAGAAGAGTACTTTGGCCCGTCTGCTCAATCTTGATCCGAGAACATGTTTTCATATTTACCTGCACTAAAAAGTGTTTCCCACGCCTACCAGAAACGCATAATTCGAATATACAAATATATATCTCAGTCAAATACCAACTCTGGCGAATCTATTTCTATGAAGTTCCCTTAAAGATTGAGCCAAAAATTTACAAGTCAAGTATTATCAATATTTCTATAAGTCACAGCTTGAAAGTCAACGGCTCTGTTTTACAGTTAGACAGTCACAAATCGTAGTCGTCTCTTCAACAACTGTTCTGAGCCGCTTTTACACAGTGAACAGTGTATTGTGCAGTCGGCTCGACTCGACTACAATGTTTTTTATTACTTGATTTATGTTTATTTTATTTTCTATCGAATTTCTGCTCTTTGCATTTTTGGTGGTTTACATTTGCGTACACCCAAATTTCCTCAACATTGTGCAGAATATTTGCTTAAATTTCTTATTAAATTATGTTTAAAATGCACAAGACGAAAAAAAAGGTAAAAACAAAAAAGGTAGTCCTAATCTATCTTAGCCCAGTCGCTTGTGGGCGCTAGTCCCATTTTTCAGGGAGCCCAACTTCAAAAGCGTTTAAATTTAAGCTAAACTCTCACATGCCAAACATGCGTAAATATATTTATCTATCTATTTTAAGCATGCTAAAAAAAACTCCACTTATATGAGGCTTAAGTGTGTGTATACAAAGGCATTTACAAAATCTGAAAGCAGGGTATTAAAAACATGAAATTCCTTGCGCTCGGCCACCTTTTGCTACTTAAAGCGAATTATAGACCCTTGCGGTGGGCGATTATGATTATGTCAGGCGTCTTCTTGGTGCTCATCAAATAAGATATACTTAACGTGTCTTTTTTGCTGCAGAAGTTATGTCGTAGTTAGCTGGATCGGATCACTATATCATCAGATGAACAACCTTTGTTTTCTTTCTTTAAAATATCCTTGAAAGAGTCAGCAATTATTTGAACTTTGTTGCAAAATCTCATGAGTATCGAACTGCAATATCACGTAGTTTCCATAATGTGCTATTTAATTATTTTTCTTTTTAAATCGTTGTTATAACATCAGCAAGGGTATTTAATTGTCGCTACTCCAAAGAAACCACATTGCCTTTATTTTTACGATTATTTCCAAAAAAAGGCAACGTTCACGTGACGTATGCGCAATATGAGCCCATGTAAAAGTGTGAGCAAAATGTTTACTGCTCCAAATTGTTGAGGTTAACTTTAAAGCCCGACGCCCACAGACACAGACGTACAGAAGAACAGACATACCAAGCCACACAGACAAAGGAATTGTGCACATATTTATGCCTTCAGTGAATCAACGTGAAGATGGGGCCATGCTTTATCAGAATACAGAGAAAGTCGGTTCGCTGCCAGATTTCGTGTGTAGCAAAGAAAAAACGCCAAAATTGAGAAAAAACTGCGCAATAATTTCCAACAGGTTTTATCTAAGCCTTGAAACTGGCCAGAAAGTTGGCCATTCAGCATGAAATGAACAAACCCTCCACAAAAAACACAAGAAAGAAAAACCAAAAAAAAAAAAAAAATGCAAATGCAGCTGGCTGAACTGCCGGCCAATTTTAATCCATCAGGTATTTCGAAATTTTTGCAGGCTTTGGCGGCAGGAAAATTGCCCAACAGCCAAAAAAAAAAAGAAATAGAAAATGAAACACTAACGCAAGCGATTGAGTGGGCAGCTTTTAATAAAGCGGCCAAATATCAAGCATACGCCCTGTTGCACACGAAAGAATTTTTGGATTGTGCTGCAGCTCTCAACGACAGAGTTAACTGCGATATTTGCATTGCGACAGAGCGTCGAAAATCTATTAAGAGCAGAATGTGAAATGCAGCAGATATTGGCAAAAGAATTTGAAAATGCTTGGAAAAAAGCTCTAAAAAGGAAATCACAGAACAATATTAATATTCATATTAATGTTCTAATTCTTAGAAAAAATAAAAGCATTATTAATAAGAAAATATGTAAAGGTATTCCCCTCTTTAAGCTATAATGCTGAGAAGAGCATTTGCCATTAAGCTGACTCCCATTATTTTATTTGATTCATTATGAAACCTCCTTCCCGATCTAAGGAATAATGATATACGACAATAAAGTTGTATCTCATCAAAGAGCATGTCTCTAAAATATAAGTAATAATGGTATTTTATTAAAATTCTAGGAGCAGCATATACCATAGAACTTTCTCTACGATATGGGAATTATGGTAAAGAATAATGGTATTTTAAATAAAGCTCCAATTTTTAAAAGAGCATTGAGGAATAATGATAAATTATATTTTTACTCAAGCTTTAATTCTAGTAAATGTATATACTATAAAACTTCCTCTTCGATATGAGGAATAATGGTAGATAATAATGGTATTCCTGACTAAAGTTCTATGTTATGATAATGAAAACCGCAATTCATTGCTTAAGTTATAATTATGGAAAAAACATTAACGCAGAGCTGTCTTTCCGATATTTGGGTTGTTTGTGAGAAATATTAACATTCTAACTCTTCTAACTCTTCGCATTTGCCAAAAGAACTGTCACATTGTCAGTTTTAGTTTTCATCCTGTTGGTCGCATACGATTAATTTACGGACTGGCCCATTAACCTGTTGGCCTGCTGTCCTCGAAGTCCTGACATTTAAACTCGCAAACAGGCAAATCAAATTGGAAGTTGTCACTCAAAATGTGCTGCTGGCGTAGCCTGTTTTCATTTTAGGGCGTGTCCTTTTTATAGACGCGTCACGTTTATCACAACAAGGCAATAAATTTCATTTGCCTGTCGCTGCTGATCATCTACGGCGAATAATGACAATAGTAAAAAAAAGTTTTCCAGTCGAAGTTGCACGACTTGTACATACGCTGTATATAAAGCTTCAAGCTGTCTCTGTCCATCTTTTGTTTAAATGGTTTTGGTCTCAATTAATTGATACAAACAACTATTAATTTATTAATTTATAGATTGCACGCAGTTGCACTTCTTTGACTCTTATGTACATTTGCACAAAATCATTATAGTCTCTTCGGGCATTATCAATGGGTATTAAAACGGAAACAACAAGGTTTTTATTGTCCCTTTGTTTTGGGCCGTTTCAAAACTGGTGCCACATCTGCCGACTTGTGTCTAGTTTTTGCCTTTTCTTAGCTCAATTGGCATGGAAAATATATAACGAAAATTCTTAAGCAAAGTCAACTTCTTCACCCATTCAGCCGGCTCCACATGATTTCGCCTGTTTGCGTTGTGGCAAACAACTAAAACAAACATTTTATTTTAGCATTTTGATTGATGGCATAAGCTTGACATTTTTTGCGGCTAGGGGCGTTCACACAGTTTGTTCGCCTTTAATTAAAGTGCGGCACTGCCTTCTGCGTTTGGGGCGTTGTGGGCGTGGCATGCTACTGTTCATCAAGCTGTGCCAAGCTTAATCAGTGCGCCCTGAGCTGTTGTGGCTGGCACGGCATGGTATGCTGGCGCCTTCCAGAGTGCCACAGGAAACAACAGAAAAAAAAATGTATCTCCAAGTAGGGTGTGAAAATCTGCTTTGGGCGGGGTTTTCTTTCCTTTTTTTTTTGCATGATTGCTGGGATTAAACTATGGCAGTGGCATGCAATCATTAGCAAAAGTTCTTTAGGTTGCTTGGCACAAAAATTATGAAATATATTTGCGGTTGCTTGAAAGTTTGCCTTGATTAATGACATGCCACGGAAGTACATATTATGTTTTGCTCAAGATTACGGAAACGATTCCTTAAAAGTAGCAAAACCATTTGAAATGCCAATTAGAAGCTCTTCTGGCTAGACATAGTAATATTTAACCTGACAGCAGCATTTATATCAGATTAACGTTTTTCCATTTATAAAATGATCAACTACAAAAATATTATTCCCATTTGCTAGAGATTTAAAGCTTAAGTAAAGTAATATATTCTCCAAGTATCTGGCATGTCTTCAAAACGAGTTTTAGATAGATAACATTAAAAGTTAATGCTTTTTGATGCAATTTGAAGTGCCATTTAAAACTATCATAATACATTTTTGGCATTCAATTTGGCTTATCACGTATACGCGCCGTCACCCAAAACAAATTTAATAGCTGAGATTATGCACTTAAAAGTTTGCATTTGCTTGGCGGTCACTTAAAATAAATTCAATCTTAAGAACTCACCTTTTTTTTTTTTTGCTTTTTATATGAGGGTTGTCAATGTTGGGTCCAGACCTGACACAGACCATTAGGCAGGTGCCAAGTATTCGCGTACAACGTGGCTGTTTCTCTTGCTTTTGTTACTTTTGTTGTTGTCACTGTTGTTGTGGTTGTTGTCACTTGCTGCGGCTGTCGTTATAAAATTGAAGTGCCAAAGCCAGCGGGGTATCAACGCCGCAAAATAACAACAAAAACTCGAACCGCCTTGTTTGAGCTTATGCTCAGCGACAGACAACAGCAAAGGGCAGAGGGGGAGGAGGGCGTGTCAGCCGCCAGACCAAATTGCTTTTTGCTGACTATAAAGCAGAGCCGTGGTTAGCAGCAGGTGACCAGCGGCGGGCGCTGTGAATGCAACGCCAAAACAACATCAAGTAAGTCGACTCGAGAATGACTACAAAATACCCTGTACGCAGGCTCCACCTGCATTAAGAAACAAAGTTGCATGCTTTAAATCGTATGTGAAACTCTTTTTTGAACAATTTTATTCTTATT